AATCCCAACCAGCACTCCTGCAGCTGTTACTGCTACAACTATATAAACACTGTGGTCGGGACGCTGGGGAGGACCTACAGGAACAGAGCCAGTGTCACTGACAAAGAGACACCTCAGTCTGTTTCTATATAACTGTAAGAAACTCCAGACCAGGAGTAACAGACTCCTGGGGAGCCTAGATTCTTGTCATTTGCTCCAGCCTGAGTAATTCATTGTACAATAAACCTAATCATTTTCATATTTAAACATGCATAGTCATTTTTCTTAAAGTCTCTTACAACTACTTACTCATAACACTCATGTCACTTAGTCTGGTTAGTAAGTTGGTAAGTAGCAGGGTTTTTAATTAAGGTTTGGGATGGATGAGAGCAACCAGGGTCTCCTGCACCTCTGCTACTCTCTTTCTCATGACATCACTTTCTGAAAACCCAGCATCCCATGATCCCTCTTCCAGCCCATCTCCAGCTGTGTGGCTCTTACTGGTCAACTCCTGACTCCCTCCTCCGACAGCCAGGTGTTTAACTCTCAGTCAAGTGGGTTAAAACAAGGATTCTCAGGTCCTAATCCCTCATTAATATTCCTAATTCAATTTTATTTTTCTGGGGATTATTCCCACATTCCCTCTGAATTCCACTGTGCAGTTAAACCAGTAATTAGACAAGCTGTGTGACTGAAGGCTTGGGTGGAACTCTAACCAGAAGACACTGGGCACTCTGGACTCGGGTCCGACAGCCTGTTCCAGACACAGCTATACTACAGACCCAACAGCAGAATGGCCTTCAGCACCTTGAGATCCCTGCAGGACTGGAGAAGCAGAGCCCTCCTCCCTGTGTGACCAGACTGCAGCCGCTCAGTGCTGACAGTGTGGTGCAGAGACCTGGACTATGAGTCTCGAGATACAGCAACACATACAGACAGAATCCGACTCACACAGCATCCCTGACTTACAATCACACATCGTAGACTTCTTACCTGCAGTGACCTGCTGAAATACCACCGTCTCATTCTGGCCAGTCAATGGGTTGATGTGATTAATATAAATTCTCATAATGTTGAACACATTGTGCAAGAGAAGTGTGGAGTTGATGTCGTAAAGCCCGTCAGCTCTGTGAGTGAAGCTGGTGCTGCTGCTGTTAGTGATGTTTTTGTTGTCCCCATCAGTCCAGAACACCACCGGTGCAGGAAACCAGCCAGAGGAGAGATAGCTGAGACTGTTGTAATCTTGGAAACTGAAGGTACAGTTCAGTGGCTTTGCTGAAAACACAGATAGGAGAATATCAATTTTATTTAATCCTCACTGCACACTCTTTGAAACATGGAGAACTTTGTGTTATAAAGGTTTTTTAATCTTTTTTTAAATGATTATGGATTTATTTTAAATTATTGAGCACTATCTATTTGTAGAGAAGTCCCAGGAGAACAGAAATTATTTTTATAAATATAATATTGATTAATTTTGATATCTTAACAAATCACTGATCCTTCAGCAACATGACAAACTCCTATTCAATACATAAAACATACCAGCCACAGAGAGGGTGAGCTGTCCTTCCCCGTAGCCACTGTCAGGGCTCCCCACTCGACAGGTGTATGTCCCAGCATCACAGAGGGACAGGTCCACCAGCACGATAGAGGCAGCCCCCACAGTTACATCAGAGAAGAGGCTGGTGCGATTTCTGTAGGCTGGGTTCTCAATATCAGGCTGTTCCTGTCCGTTCTCATAGGCAAATACAGTAATGTTGGGTTGTTTCTCCCAGCGCACTGAGACATTCCCAATGGGGACAGAGCCGTTACTGGAGAAGATACAGAGGAGGGTCACGCTGTTCTGGTAGGGGCCAGTGACTGAGGACTTCGGGACAACAACACGAACATCTGTGGACACAAGACGAAACAGCTGTTGCCACAACCCAGGATACTGGACTCTCCTGTGATGTTGAGGTGGTGGAGATGAAAGAGATATATTTATTATTATCTCTGACTGTGCTGTATAAACCCGATCCATTTGTCTACAAAAATGAAGCCTTTTCCTTCATTTAACACAGTAACAAAGAAACATGAACTCAGAGTAGAGAGAACACAGGATAGTCTGTTAATAATAAGCATATTTCCAATGGGAAACAGTAAACAAGTAGTATTGGGTAAATTTTTTAAGGACCAATATTCTTACTAATCCAGCAGTGTCTCCAGTGTACCTCTGTCCAGCAGCACAGTGACCATGAGGGACAGTGTCCTGGGCTGCCCATGGTAAGAGCAGAGAGCCCTGCACAGTGTCTGGTCAGCAGGGTCAGGGTCACATTTAGACCTGCACTATCAGCGTGTCCAGCAGCACAGTGACCATGAGGGACAGTGTCCTGGGCTGCCCATGGTAAGAGCAGAGAGCCCTGCACAGTGTCTGGTCAGCAGGGTCAGGGTCACATTTAGACCTGCACTATCAGCGTGTCCAGCAGCACAGTGACCATGAGGGACAGTGTCCTGGGCTGCCCATGGTAAGAGCAGAGAGCCCTGCACAGTGTCTGGTCAGCAGGGTCAGGGTCACATTTAGACCTGCACTATCAGCGTGTCCAGCAGCACAGTGACCATGAGGGACAGTGTCCTGGGCTGCCCATGGTAAGAGCAGAGAGCCCTGCACAGTGTCTGGTCAGCAGGGTCAGGGTCACATTTAGACCTGCACTATCAGCGTGTCCAGCAGCACAGTGACCATGAGGGACAGTGTCCTGGGCTGCCCATGGTAAGAGCAGAGAGCCCTGCACAGTGTCTGGTCAGCAGGGTCAGGGTCACATTTAGACCTGCACTATCAGCGTGTCCAGCAGCACAGTGACCATGAGGGACAGTGTCCTGGGCTGCCCACAGTAAGAGCAGAGAGCCCTGGACAGTGCTGGTCAGCAAGACGGCTCTCTTACCTGCCTGTGTCTTCAGACTGACTCTGCAGAGCAGCAGGGCCACAGTCAGGGTCCAGAGCAGCATGGCAGGACCTCAGCCTCTGTGTCTCCTGGTTAATGAGAAGAACTGGAGAAGAGAAGAGAAGAGAAACTTGCTCAGCTCATGCCAGAGGGCTGGGTGTTTGACATGAGCTATGATATTTCCCAGTATCACATGAGCTGCCAGTTCTGACCAGCCTCAGACCCCACAGTCCTGTTATGTGTCAACTGCAGTTTTTCACAGGCTTTGTGATAATTGCAGCATCAGCCAAATCTGTTTCCTCTTCTTTTTAATGAACTGAAAATGTCTATAAGTATTACATGCTTGATTGATCCCACCTGATGGCACACATTCTCAGCTCTGTGTTTCTCATGTTTAGTTTCTAGGAAGAGAACTTTGCATATCTTACAGAAACATCTGGAATTTCTACAAACCTCCTTTGCTCTCACTCAGGAACAAGTCCTCACTCTTACTGTACTATTATAGCGACACACAGCTAGTCTGTAACTGGCTCAGACTGGCAGGGCAGGTGCAGCTGATCACTTCCTCCTGGCCCCTGTCCTGGACTGCTGGAGAGCTGTCCAGCCTGCTGCTCACGGGCCCAGTGTTTCACCACAGGGGGAGCTCAGACAGTGAGTAAAACGACAGCACAGGAGCCCTGAAAGAGCCCTAACGAGATCCTCCGGTTTCTACCCTTCCAGGGGGCTGATGACTGAGGTTGTAATGTGCTGAGAAGTTAACATTTTTAATACCAATACTTCCCTTTGCTGTATAATCAGTAGAATGTGAATACGAGTTTTAGTTTGAATATCTAAAGCACCCACAAAATACAGCATTAAGAAGGAAGTCTCATGCTGTTGGAATTCCGTCAAGATTTAATATGGAACTGAAACATAAAATTGCTCAACAAGCCGCGGTGAAACTACTGGAGCCTGCAGCGGCGTGTCCCTCGGGCGAGGAGCCGGGTCTAATTACCGACTTGAGCACCGTTAGAACAGGAGCACAACGACTTGAAAAATAGAGCTAGCCCGCCCTCTGCTGGACATAAACGGGAATACTGTTTGTAAAACAGCGAACAGCATAATAATACACTTACATAGCACTTTTCTGGATACTCCATTCAGAGGCATTCACAGACAATGGGGACTCTCCTCCAGCGCACCTGGATGATGTGGTAGCCAAAGTGCACTAGTATTCTCACCACACATGAGCTATCAGAGGGGAGGAGAGCAGAGTAATGAAGCGAGTTGATAGTGAGAAACCATAGGAGGTATCATCGGTAAAGGACAGTGGGAAATCTGTCCAGCAAACCAGGGGTAACACCTCTGTTCTTTCCAAGAGACACCCTGGGATTTTTAAGGACCACAGAGAGAAAGGACCTCTGTTTTCCGTCTCATCCTTTTTAAGTATATTGTCCCCGTCACTATACTGGGGTATTAGGATTGAAACAGACCACAGGATGAGCACCCCCTACTGGCCCCACTAACTTAGTTTTTCCCAGGAGGTCTCCCATTCAGGTACCAACCAGGCTCACACCTGCTGAGCTTCAGTGGGTTGCCAGTTGTGAGTTGCAGGGTCATTTAGCTTCTCACATAAGTTGTGTATTTAGGAACAAGTGTTTAATCTATTGGTTTTCATCAGTTTTCTAAACAGCTTTATTTAGTACACTCACAGGGCCATAGTTTAGTCTATGAGTGGATTATTTAGCTTTAATGGAGATGATTTTACTATGTGCATAATTATTTAGTATGAATCAGTCCAGATTGAGTTTAATCCAAGAGCTCTTGCTCTGGTTTGTGCAGCTCGCAAAGAAGTTTAAGCTTTTAACAGGAACGACTTCCTGGGCTCTTCAAACCTCTTTCATCCCATTGAAACTCACAAGCCCACCCCTGGAAACACTTTCCAACCTCCTGCATGGTGCTTTTCATCATCGCTGTCTCTGAGTTCGAGTCCAGATTGTGCCTGTGTGTGACCACACCGAGCCCCCTCCGGAAGAGAATCTGCTCTTTGTGCTGGACCCCTACTCATTTCAAGAAAAACCCTGGGATGTTTAATGACCATGGAGAGTCAGCACCTCGATTGTAAATCTCATTCAAAGGATCACAGCTCTGCAGGGAGGAGCTCTGGGCTCAGGCGTGGAGAACCCACAACTCTTGTTAGTTTCACAGAAGAATTAAGACTCTCAAGACGTAACATAGACTAGTTTATTATAGAGTTATAAAGTTATACAGGATCCTTATATATCACAATAGATCCTCTTTTTATCTCCCCTCTGCCTGTAGTGTGTCCTACAGCCACAACTGCAAACACTATTATTGCAGCCATTTAGGCCTGCAACCTAGACCTTCTGAAGATAGATGTACTGTACTGTACATGGACATTTCTATAAAAGAAATCAGGCCATGTTTTATCAATCTAATTCTTGGTCAAATCTATTCCTGATGTACTTTCAGAATCTTGTTGTTCAGTGGAGACAAGTAGGTAACAGTTCAGGTATTAGATTCAGTATAGTTAAGTATCTACTGATATTAATTGTCATAGAATATTAATCACTGTTCCTCCACACTCATAAGTCTGATCCTAGATTCCAGTTTTTCATACCAGGGATCAACTCTAGAAGTTCCTCCTCCTCTGAGGACCATGTAGGTTAAAAAGCGGTCCACAGCAGGAAACCATTCACTCGGATATGTTACTGGAGGCTACAGCAGGGTCTGTGGATCAGGGGTTGAGAACTGTGCCCAACAGACACACAAGGGCTGATATTACAGTCATCGTCATAGCATGTAGGCCAGGGCTGGGCAGCCTTGACTTCTGGACTCCAGCCACTCCAAGTCTTTTTTAGCTAATCCTTAAGTACCTGGGTTAATGAAGCAATTAAGGATCGAAAACTGGAAGTGCCACAGTAGGGAAATGGTGCCCTGGATCAGCAGGTCTGGTCTAACTGCATCAGCTCTTGCTAATGAACTGAAGGAACAGAGTGAGTTTATAACCTGAGCTGTACCCATCATTCTGTATGAGGAGTGACGGAACAATATCGTTGTGATGTTAACTTCCATTAATCACATGCAGGGAGACACCGCATCGATGATATGCTAAAGGATTAATTGGGAAAGATTTATTAGGGAATATGGAAATTTTACAGTGTGAAAGAAAATTAAATATATTCCAAATAAACTGGGTTTTACAGACCCAGCGTGAAGTAGAATACCATGCACAAACATACAAATATGCCGGAAGAAATAACAAAATATAAAATGTTATATTTTACGACACACCTGAAGAAGGCTCCACGGCCAAAACATTGTGTTTTCTTTCTTCTTTTTTTCAGCATGGAATAAACCTATTACTTGTTCCTATAAAATGTTATATAAACATATTAATTCCCCAACATTAAGTGCTGCTAATAATCTTGTGCATCTTTTTATAAGTTTGATAGTATTAGTGTGTAATAAATAACAGAGAATTACAGGAAAATAACTGATAATGCACTTGAGCTAGCCCCAGGAGATAGTTTAAGGAATTTATTTCTATTCAAGTACAAAAATAGCATTTTTCTTTAAAAAAACAATTAAAAATATATTCTAAAAAATGCTCCCAATCCTTACTTTGCCTAACATACATACAAAATTACAAAATGAAATGACAGCAAGATCAGTGTATAGGTGTGTCTGTGTGTAAGGGTGTGTGTGGAGGAGTGTGTACAGTCCAGACTGGACGTCAGTAAAAAGTCAGGGATGTGATTTTTCTACATCAAATCGACAAACATGTTTAACAAATTCTATTTAACATACACACTAAAGCACAGAGAATAAAAAACAATCACCAAAGTATTACGAGTTTCATTTATAGAACTAAGAGTTGTGGGTGTCTGGCCAGTGGCTAACACCCAAAGCCTGAGCACTTTTAAGAAACAGCTGGAAGGTATTTTAAATTCACTACCAGAAAAGCAGAAAGCTTTCCTCTCCTTCCAATGGATCAGTGATGTTTTCTTGCTAGGTAACCTGCAACAGTACAGTTCCACTGAGCTTCCCAAGACACTGGACTTTATTCCTTGTTATTGTACAGTGCTGTACGAGGGGGAACAGCCCAGCATTCTGACAGCAAGGGGCCAATGGGCCATAGCATTAGAAGTCTATTAAAGCACAAAACTCCTCAGATATTTCCAGAAATCCAGCTCACAAAGTGTCCAAATTCTTAATCTTCTTCTAAAATACTAACACAGCCACTGTCCTCTCGTGAGACCTCCAACTCTTCTTCATCACATATTTATCCGGGGAGCTGAAATAAACCAAAAGGGAATTCTTCAATATTTGAATATTCAATAAATGAAAAAATATTTCATTATTTTCAATACAGAAGGAGTGAGAATGATTTAGGGGCATGCAAATCAGGAATAATTCACTCCCACAGAAGCTAGAGAGCACTGTTCCAGAGTAGTTCAGGTGGGTAGCTGCGTCAGCATGCGTAGGCTGCAAAGGAACAAGTAATAGGTTTATTCCATGCTGAAAAAAAGAAGAAAGAGAACACAACGTTTCGGCCGTGGAGCCTTCTTCACTGTTCCAGAGTGCCCAGCGGGCAACAGGAAGAGAGCTGTTCCGTATCTGCAGAACTGGGTTTCTACAGCATGACACTTTTAAAGGTGGGAGCTGTAGTCTGTGTGCTTTTCAGTTACACTTACTGTCTATTGAATCACGCCGACGATTTCCTCTGATCAGTGGCTCATCGTCATCGGCTCCAGCAGCACCTGAGCCTGAAACACAGCAGCACCTGTCAGTGATCCAGGTGGGTTAAGACACAGGTGGGTTAAGACAGTGGAGTCACTGATCTGTGTTTAATTCAGGGCAGTTACAGCTCACACTGCCACACAGCACTGGCACAGACACAACACACACTTCCAGCTCCTAATCTTCGTTCTGACAGGTTCAGAGGAAACATGTCTGTCCTAATAACACAGGAGCCAAATCAGAGACCCCTACCAGCCTTAATGAAGGACTCTTAATGAGGACAATAAATAATTCAGTAAATTACAGAGTTGGGCTATGTTTCGACAGCATGACACTGTTAAAGGTGGGAGGGGTAGTCTGTGGTGTTTATTTCAGTCACACTTACTGTCTGTTGGCTCATGCTGGTAATTTACGTCCAGTGGTTCATAGTCATTGGCTCCACCAGCACCTGGGCCTGAAACACAGCAGCACCAGCCTTTCTCTCAAATTGATTACTGTATCTAAATCCACATTTAAAAAACAAACTTCAGTATGTCCAAGGTTTGGCAGCCAGGATCCTGACCAGTTTTAGTGCAAGTGATCACACTACTCCTATCCTGGAGTCCTGGCACTGGTTCCCTGTCAGATTTCATGTGGACTTCAAAATGCTCAAGCTCGCCTGTAAGGCTCTGCATGGCTTGACACATCAGTACCTCTCTGAGTTTCTATCGTCCTGCTCCCCAGCTCACAACCATCATTTAATTCTAGTCTCCTGTCTTTCCCCTCATCTTGTCTACACCCTAGGGGCGACAGGGCCTTCTCCTGCTGTGCCCCAACATCAGTATTTGGCATCATATACCTACTAGACCTGTACTATACAAGCTTGAAAGTGCTGTGCTGTACACCCCTGCCCAGTCTGCTACAGTGGTCAGAGCTTATGTCCTTCTTACCTTGTCTGGGCCTGTGATGCCTCAGTTTTTTATAAAGACCTGCAATGAGAAGAAGCACAAACATCCCTCCTGCAGCTACGGCTCCTCCCACTGCATAACTGGTGTACTGGGGACGCTGGGGAGGCCCTGCAGGTACAGAGACAGACAGAACGACAGGGATGAAGAGAATTCATTCCTACAAGACTTTGTTAAACTGTTGACCGGGGGTCTCAGACGTAGTTCTTGAAATTAGTGTCTTCTGGTTCTGTCCTAACCTGAAGAGCCATTTAAAAAGTTAACTAAAGAAATCATTCACAAGATTTCTGAGATTTGTGTTGAGGGTTTTCACAACTGATTACTCAAAATATTGCCTTCGTTAAGGACACTGTTATCTATACAATACGAATAATTAGAACAAGTATGTAGTGGAGAGTTCAGGTGCAATGAAACCCAAACAAAATCTGGCTGCACCAGTATCTGAGCCTGACTCCCTCGATCTTGACCTGCTGGTACGATAGAATAAACCAAAGCAACTTCCCTTCTCATCTTCTCATCCCTTCTTTAATGAAACAAAACTTTTATTCTTCTAATTTCTTTATGTAGTTCACTACTAACAGGATAGCAACCACTCAAGTGCTGTGGTAAGAGACTAACAGGGCTGCAGACACAAGCAAGTATTTCTAAAAACAGGAAAGCATATCAAAGAGACAGTAAAAGAGAAATGCTTCAATGATCTGCATTCTGACCAACAGAAATACATATTTATTGTATCTACAAATTCATACCTTTGTCTGTTTGCTGGAAGATGTTTATTTCTTGCTCTCCAGTAAATGGGTTTCTGCAAACAATATAGATCTTCTTTTGGGTGTATTCAGTGTGAAAGTACAGGATGGACCTGATCTCAAACAGCCCATCTGTCCTCTCAGTGATGTTGATGTGGACCGTGATGTTCCTGTTGAGCTCGTCAGTCCAGAAAACCACTGGCTTCGGATACCATCCCGAGGAGTGGAAGCTGAGGCTTTCATAGTCATTGAATCTGAAGCTGTAGCTCAGTGGCTTTGCTATAAGAACATAGAGAAGATGAAGAACTTTAGGACTGATGTGATCAGTGCAGGGAAATCTCAGAGACCTGCACCAGTCTACATGAAACAGGTTATTGGCCTTCTATGAAACACCATAGTTCTGCCCATTTGCTGAAATACAACTTGCAGCCTTCCTTCATTTTAATATTGGATATGGTATCCAGAAATCTTTTTAAATAAATAAATATAATAATAAATAAAATAGATTTTTTTTCTGCAACCTTTATTCAACATACTAAAAATGTCCCATTAACAATGCAATAAGGATGCACTGCTATGCAGCCCTGCCGCACAGTCGACAGGAAGAGGCTGTTCTGGAACAACGAGAGGAACTGTGATAAAATGAACAGGTATTACAATGTAACAGCCAGTATCGTACACAATGCTCAGTGTAGTGTTACATTCTCTTCAGTCTGCCTATGGTTGTGGCCGCCTTCTCAACTCACATACAGAAAGGGAAAAATAAAAACCCATAGAAATCCTCACCAGCCACAGAGAGGGTGAGCTGTCCTTCCCCGTAGCCACGGTCAGGGCTCCCCACTCGACAGGTGTATGTCCCGGCGTCACAGAGGGACAGGTCCACCAGCACGATAGAGGCTGAGCCCACAGTTACATCAGAGAAGAGGCTGGTGCGATTTCTGTAGGCTGGGTTCTCAATATCAGGCTGTTCCTGTCCGTTCTCATAGGCAAATACAGTAATGTTGGGTTGTTTCTCCCAGCGCACTGAGACATTCCCAATGGGGACAGAGCCGTTACTGGAGAAGATACAGAGGAGGGTCACGCTGTTCTGGTAGGGGCCAGTGACTGAGGACTTCGGGACAACAACGCGAACATCTGTGGACACAAGACAAAACAGCTGTTACCACAACCCAGGATAGTGTAAGAGAGTAATTAAGAAAACACATTCAAAACCTTATACTTAATCCTACTTTTCAATTGGTGGAGAACAGAGTTACATTAAGGATTTGATTTGATTTTCACACTGGCTGACTTCACAGTATGACCTGTATCTGTGTGGTAGAATAGGATCTGACCTCATGTGTTCTGAAATCAACTACTTGGAGAATGTAAATCAGACATTACATCTCACTGACAATAAACATACATTAGTCCCTTGCTATACGAGTAACCGATGTAAGGGTCTTCATTTATACAAGATGTAGTAATTCCTGCCTGTGTTTTCATTTAATGAGCAGACTTTCACTCTTATAAGCTGGTCTTCATTTCATGCATTTTCTGATAGGAAAAGCAGAAATTTATTTTTTATTTTTTATTCCATTTTAAGTTGTTTTTATAATGAAGGCTTGCGTGTTCTTTAAAAAGAATATACTAAGGTACAGGAAAGTACTTAATTCTTATGCATTGTACTGGGATGCCCACAGTAAGAGCAGAGAGCCCTGGACAGTGCTGGTCAGCAGGGTCAGGGTCACTGTTAGACCTACACTATCAGAGTGTCCAGCAGCACATTGACCATGAGGGACAGTGTCCTGGGCTGCCCACAGTAAGAGCAGAGAGCCCTGGACAGTGCTGGTCAGCAGGACGGCTCTCTTACCTGCCTGGGTCTTCAGACTGACTCTGCAGAGCAGCATATACACAGTCAGGGTCCAGAGCAGCATGGCAGGACCTCAGCTTCTGTGTCTCCGGTTAATGACAAGAACTGGAGAAGAGAAGAGAAACTTGCTCAGCTCATGGCAATTGGCTGTATATGGAATTTCTACAAAGCACCTTTGCGCTCACTCAGGAACAACTACTCACGCACACTACTATACAGACACATGCCCAGTCTGTAACTGGCACCAAAGAGCAGTCTGAAGAAGATGAACTAGTTTCCCAGTGTGCAGTATCCTGATACAGCACTGAAGAGCTGTTAGAAGAAGATGAACTAGTTTCCCAGTGTACAGTATCCTGATACTGAAGTCCGAAGACGAACGTGTTTCTTATAAACGGGACGGAAGGATTAGGAGCGGTTCATACACGCTTTCAAATGGATAATATCATTTTAAAGACAACATTAAGAGACGTTTAATCTTGAAAACTGAAGTGTTCAAAACACTGAAACAGCGGGGTGTAGTTCCAGTGTTCCCCAACAAAAAGCGCAAACTTTGTGATGGATAACATCTTAAAAAGGGATATATGGTATTTTACTCAGACATATATACAGTATTTCAAAAATAAAGTATTTATTAGTAACTACTGTTATATTTGCTTGCTTCAATCACAGTTTAGCACAGAAAGGACTGACAACACTTTTAAAACGACGAAATCACGAATTACTTTCACTTTTAAAAACCACAATTCACAACACGTATTTCTTTAAACAAGAATAGGGAACAGAATGAATGAGCAATAAACATTTTTGCGTTTAACAAGGTGTAACAATAGCATTTAAATACTGTTCTATTCATAATTTATAAATCCACACCAGCGTTATCGTAACTAAAACTGCACTTACACAAGATTATCCTAACAGCTATAGAAGCCCTGGCGGAAACGGGCTTCCATAAATTAGTGGTTAAGTACTGTCCATAAAATTTACGTAAAACCGCTGTGATGACCGATATTCTTTGTACAAAAGCTACAAAAAACAGTTTGCACATGAAAAGAAGCACCGAAGTATTCAATCAACACAAAACGACCCTTTGAACTTCCTGAATCCCAGAATGTGTTTGTTACGTTATATCTGCGCCAGGGGGCGGACCGACACAAAAGAGATTCCAAAACCTTCCGATAAGGTTATTATAGTTTCTCAATTGCTTCAATGCAATTACTGAAAGGTTATCTAGATTTTCAAAACAGCGCCCTACAACAGTAGCGTGGATGGCGAAACACTATATTGTAACGCAACGGGGGTCCTGGCGGGCGCCCTTGCCGCATTAGATCGGCCCCCCACTGTCGGGGGCTTGAACCCGGGACTCCTGCGACACTCTATAGGGACCCAGCCCGGTGAGCCAAAGAGAGACCTCTGTACAGCCCATTAGCTGTAGTCATGCTATCACAGGGAAGGGCGATGACGTCACCTGCTCTGGTAAGCCGGCTCTTACACAGTACCTGTCGGCCGTAAGCGTTACAATATCATTTATGATTGTGTTCACTCAAAATGCAAACGTCAGATATATACCTTGGTAAAAAGGTGAGATTTAAGATTAGATTTGAAGAGAATTAAAGATGTTGTCTCTCACTGAGTGTGAGGAAGGTCATTCCACAACACTGGCTCAACAACAGAAAAGGCCCCCTTACCAAAAGTCTGTGATTTAGTCCTGGGTAGTGAGCAGAGGACCGGCCTCAACTGAACTGAGCCCACGGGAGGGAGTGTAAACATGGAGGAGTTCAGAGATGTATGATGGAGCCAGATTGTTTAGAGCCTTGAGAGTCAGTAAGAGGATCTTGTATTGAATATGTGATTTTATAGGCAACCAGTGTAGAGACTTAAGTGTAGGAGTGACATGCTGACAGTGTCTGATGTGAGTTAGTAGTCTAGCTGCAGAGATTTGGACATATTGCAACTTGTTGAGAGGAGAGGTAGGGAGCCCCTAGAGTAAAGATTTGGAGAAATCAAGCCTTGATGTTCTAAATGCATGAATCAGGCTCTCAGCATCGGACATTGATAGAAATTGCCTAATGTGGGCAATATTGCAAGGATGAAAGCAGATTTCAAGTGTGACTCCCAGATTCCTAACTTTGCCTGATGGCCTGATGTGTGAAAGAGGAAGCCATCCACCAATGATCAACCAGTTACCAGTGAGCTGGTGTTGCTGAAAGATGGAGCAGGAACAGATAGCTGGAAGAGGAGGAGGGTCCAAATGTGAGTGTGTAAGTTGCCGGGTCCAGGGAGTGAGGAAGAGGAAGGCGAAGACAGGCAAACATCTCTAATGAAATAAGGTTCACCAGAGTGCACCATGTTCTAAATCAGGGCTTGACAATGGCAACATGGCAGGAACCTTATCGCACACAGATCCTCAGTAAATGGACCAGGACAGCGTGAGGGCAACACATCCATGTGAGCTGCCATTTCAGATGATGGTGCCACTGCCTACATCCTCACCACTGGGCCCCACAACACAGGCTGTCTGTTTTCCCGGATGCTCTGTATGATACATGTATGATACATATGATATACGTATGTATATACGTATGATACATGTTTGATACATATCAGGTACTTCAGGTACTTCTGGTACCTGGAGACGACAGACCGCTGGCGAGGGCTGACTCGCCGGTTCTGCAGAGGTGCAGGACAGTGACAGCTCTCTCCACTCTGCTCCAGTCAGGGAAAGGACAGCTGCCCTGCACGGCCATGGAATTCCTCCCTCACCCCATTGGGGAAGTTTGTGAAAGGAGTGTGACCACCGGCCTCCCAATCGGATGTTTCTCTTGGATGCTGGCTGTGGGGACAGGACTGCGGGTGATTGCACAAGATGAGCGCGGTGTGCAAAATGGTTTCACCTTCATTGCATTCCTGTGAGGTGTGGTTGAAAATCTGTGGTCTAACCATAAAGAGAGAGATGGGAAGGCCAGTGAGATGTGTACAATTGATCGGTTATGTCTCTTCCTTTTACACTTTCGTTTGGTTTCATTTAGTTGTACCACTCGTCTTTCTTGATTTACTGGATTTATGTACTCTAACATTCTGTACAATATCCATTTGTTTTCTTTTTTCTTTTTGATCTTTGTGATAAATCATTTTTAGTATCTCAGGGTATTTTGCACTAGTAGTGTGTAAATTTGCAAATTAAAATAGAGTTTGTGTTCACTGTTCACTGTTCAATAGAGTAAAACAAAATAAAATAGTAAAATAGATTTGGGTTGACATTGTCAGTACTGCTTCAGGAATTTAAGCAATAAAAAAACTGTGATTTAGATTGAATTAGAGTAAAATTGGAGAGTCTCAGAGTCATTTCAGTTCTTCTTTCTAAAAAGAACAGTTCTTCTTTCTAAAAAAATGAAAAGATTAAGAATTTGAGGAAAAACTTTCCTGAAAGTAGTGTAAAAGTAGTTAAAATTCAGACACTCCAGTGCTGGACAGAACCAGTGACAGTGACTTAGAAACTCACACATCACACACAGGATCAGGAGATAAGAGCTTGGAGAGAGTGTGCTGACATAGTGACTTGAAGAGAAGCCTGAGTTCTTGTTTTTATTAACCGAGAAGTGTTTATGTGCACTGAAACTTACACACCTTCAAGACATTCAATAAGGTTTTGTCTGTGAACCCGACCAAGTTATTACATAAAGCTAGGCACGAGCCGTTCAACAAACTGCTGAAATATGAAATCAATCATAGTGTTTCTCATTTATACACATTCTTATGTTATGATGTTCTTAAGATTTTGGCCACTATTCTTCTCATTGCTACAAAAGTTTTTGACAATTTAATCTATAATAGCCTACAATGTTGTATGATTGCTTAATAAAAAATACTTTATCAAAATAAAACAAAATATTCAAAATAATACAAAATTCGAACAGACAGACAGTCGGTTTGTACAGATGATGTGGGAATGTGTTATACTCAAGACAACTGTCCTTGAAAATACAGGTATTCAATATAATTACATTTTATATAATTCTGAGGATCTTTAAAACCTGTACATTTTCAATTACATTCTGAAACCTGAAGTCACAAGTTTTCCCACAGCAGGAAATCTTCAAACCTTCAATCTTTAGCCGATCTGATTAGTCTGTAGATGTTTCATGAACCGCAGGATCTGCTTACTTTTTGTATTATGGCAGAAAGCACCATTCTGTATGTTGGACAGTTTCACAGCTCTTCTGTAACCACCTACAAACTCCTAAAGTTTAATCCCCCCCAGCTGAGAACATGTTATTAAACTGCGCTAGTTCTCTCCTGGAACGTCGTCTGTCACTGATTACTGCCAGGGTAAGGGGATCTGTTTTTTCTTCATGACTGGAGAGCAGCTTGCTCATGTCTGTAAGACGCAGTAGGCATTGAACAGTGACAGAACCCAGTAAGAACCAACAACACTTTTATACTCCATGCTTCAGGCTTGCTGACAGACAGCACTTCTGTCCTTGTGATGGAGCACAGAGGGCTCAAGGAAATGAGCAGGTAAGCAGAGGAGGTGCTGAGGTTTCCACTGGACAGGCGTGAGCTAGGAATATGGAGAGCGACAGAGCAGGATGGAGGGGAGACCTGCCGGCTCTTATTGCGCAACATATCAAGAGCGTGAGACGTGGGTCCTAGTGTCCCTGTCTGGCTACCTGCACTTCGGATTTCCTTCCTCCCTTGGCGGAGGCTGCTGTGAAACCGCTGGAGCCTGCAGTGGCGTCTCCCTGAGGCCAGGAGCCGGGCCTATGGGAAGCGAGGGCTGGAGTTGGCCGGGGTGAGAATGGGGAGGTTTATAAGTCAACCTGTAACTCCCCGCGCAGTTAGAGCAGTAACCCATCAGAGCACCTATTGGTTAAGCGGGCCGGGCCTGACTGGGTCCATGGGACTGAGGATCCGGGCTCTGCCAAGGGTCATGCCAGCGACTCATGTCACCACCTCCCTATAAAGGCCTTGTCGGTGCCAGCCGCCTGGACTCTGGTACAGGACGTGTGCAGGGGGAAATCCAGGAGGAGCAGGCTGAAGCGCTGTGGTGTGAAGGCTGTGCTGCACCAGGACCTGCACAAAGGTAACCGATCGCTGCAATGGAGCGGGCAGGGTGCAGTGCAGTGGTGAGGAGGCCTCAGAGACAGAGAGTCCAGGCAGTGGCAGTCTTCTGTCCCTTTAGGAGAGTTTCAGTCACACCCCAGTGACTCACCTGCTGGAGCTGATTATTTACTTCTGTGGATAGAGCAGGTGGAGTGACACAGATCAGCTTGCCCAGATTTAGTGTCGATATTATTGGTCTCGTTACAGTTTTCATGAAAACCTTTTAATCTTTTAAACGTAAGTTAATTTTCTGACTGGGAAAAATGGGGCTGAAAATGGATGGATGGTTAAGTTACAATTGCTATGATCATATAAGATCATTGCGAATAATAAATTCACTACTGTCCTTTGTAATAATCTAAAACACTCAAAAGTGTCCCATTGTTACAGAACGCTTTCGTTGATCCAGTACAGATAATGGGTTTCAAGCTTTGACAGCTCCTGCTTAGTGCACAAAATGAGATTCTGGTCCAAAAGGGAGGAGCACAGAGAAAGTAAAGCCCGCACAGAGACAAAGGTGCAGTCGTCCAGAACTGTCCACTGTCAGGCTGTGACCAGAAAGCAGTTCACTCTGGGTTGTTCAGAGAAGCCCAGTCTAATTTGGGAGCTGTTAGGCGCGGGCTCGGTGGCACACGCTGGCTTTATTAATTTCATAGTGAATCATGGTCAGCAGCTGTGGGACAGCCCTGGAGGGCGGTCATGCCAGCTGCCAAGTTCAGCAGGGTGGCACAGCCCTGCAATGAGCTCTTACTGGCCCCAGCTCAGGGAAAGGGGGGCGATCAAGGCTTTAATCCCTCCTCCTGGTGCCTGCAGCGCCGAGGGAGCCCTGCGAGTTCTCGGTGGCTCCGCCTCACACACTGACACACACATGCATTCACACTGGGACATTAGCACACAACTTCCCACATGGATGATCAGACTCACTGTGCCAGAGGCTAGGAGAAGGAGCCGGGGGACATGTTGCAGCTCAGCTCTCTGCTGCTATTTTAACACAGCCAGACTTCCAGCCAGTGAAACTCCTGGACACCTCCAGCCTACAGCAGGTACTTGCACTGAGCTCTTGTTTCTCCTCAGGTTCATGTTCTTGTCCATTCTTGTGATTGTTTCTCGTTCCTCGTTGTTGCTGCTCTTGACTATTCTTCAGTTTCCTGCTATGTGGCCGGTGCCTTGACCTGCTTATAGCAAACTGAAAGCATTGTTTTAAAACTCGCTTCGGTTCTTGAATGTAGGCCAAAGGTCACAGGCACGAGAGTGTTTTAGCAAGGGGGATTTGCAGAGTCTTTCTCCTCAAACTTCCTGCCTGAGGCTTGTGTAGATACAAGGGCATTTCTGCTCGTTCTGCATGCTGTGGAGTGGGCTGGCATTTGCTCTGCATGCTGTGGAGTGGGCTGAGACTGGCACAGGAACATGGACATGCTTGCTTGCTCTTGTCTGCACACTTTGAAGTGGGTTGACTGAAACTGGCAGGGTCCGTTAACCAGTTTACCCCTCTGGTTCTTGATGAGTTGGGTTAGCAGGTGGCTGAGAGGAAGATTACATTGAACATGCAAAGCTGAGAGTAGGTATCATGCTTTTAAAAGAACACTTTGTGTGGTAGTATTTACAGCTCTTTTCTTTCTCTAAAGTACACAATTGCACATCTAAAACCCTGGCTCAGCACAGTGACTGAAAAAGAAGTCAGGATCTTTTAACAGCAGAAAATACTTGGATATGGACCCCCCTTCCCCTGTGGAAGGATGGGGCTCAGCTTGAACGACTGCTGCATAGACTCGGCTAAGCCCCATTAAAAGATACTGAGCCCAATTTCCAAGATACAAAACCAGAACTGGTAGAAAAAATGTGAGTATACTTCTTCAAGAAAATTAAAAGTTATGCCTGCCAAATGCTTTCTTTCTTTTTGAGGTCTCCAGGCAATCTTACCCTGGCTAAAGATTTGGGCAGTGCAGCTTCCCCTGCAGTGCACACAGGAGCTGGGAACACAAAAGACGTATTTGAACATCAGCCTGGGTCTCTGATCCTGGTCCCCCGCAGTGCTCAGATAACCTTCTCAGGCTGAGTGACAGGGAGGCAGATATCTGCCAGAGGGTAGGGAGGGGAGCTTGAGGGGAGCGGAAATATCTTGTTTTACGTCTTGTCTGCTTCACTGGCAATTGAAGCTCACAGGAGTGCTCTGCGGGACACCCCGGAGGAGTGAGCTGGGCCACAGGTGGATTTTCTTCCTGTTCTAGTTTCCACGGAAGCAGCCGGTCAGTCACTGTTTTTCTGTGCCTTACTAAATCAGTAAAGAAGTTGATGCCTGCCACTATCACATACATCACCGCTCAATCTCAGCCTTCACCACGTGGCCAGCCAAGAGTCTCCAAATCACGGGGCGGTTCCTGGGGTAGCATCCAACCCAACGGGACAGCTCTGCTAATGTCCGTCCAGAGAGGGGTGCTGATTCACCTCTCCTCTCTGTGCTTTATCGATATTTTACTCCTGTTTACCACAGTCAGCTCTGAAATGACCATGGTATGCCACAGAAAACACTGGGAGGGTTTTGCGACGGAAGCCACACAGAAGAGCGCATGCTTGATCAGAGAGTGTTTTCCTGTCTTTTTCCCGCTGCCTGTCCTCGGAGCAGTATGGAGAAGAGCGCTGCTGCATCAGTCAGGCGCGATGTTGCCCTGCCCCCGACGGGACAGGAGATCCAGGAGAGGGGCCAGTGGGAAAGCAAGCTGGAGTTCCTGCTGGCTGTTGCTGGACAGATTGTTGGTTTGGGCAACGTGTGGAGGTTCCCCTACCTGTGCTACAAAAATGGAGGAGGTGAGAAGGAGACTGTTAATATAGCTGAGATGGCAGTTTGCAGTGTGCTTAACTGTGTGACTGTGAGCAGCACTGATAGCATGGAGCCTGGCTGTGGGTTAGAATGAGATTCGTTTCTGTTCTGTTTTCTTACAAGCTACATGTTGCTGTTTTTCCCCGATGGACTCCTGGTCTCAGCTCCTCCAGCGCAGGAAGGTCAATTTAGTGATACTGGAGTAACACTGTATTTTCATCCTGCAGGTGTCTTCCTCATCCCCTATGTCCTGTTCCTGTTTACCTGTGGGATCCCCCTGTTCCTGCTGGAGACGTCTCTGGGGCAGTACACCAGCCAGGGGGGCATCACTGGCTGGAGGAAGATCTGCCCCCTGTTTGAAGGTGGGCATCTGGGCTTTCATCCAGATTCACTTGGTACCGGCTGTGTGCATAGTCCAGGAGTGCTCAAACAGCAGGTGCTTTCAATTACTTCCATGGTTGGGTTTTGGTATGGTCAGCCCTAATCAATCTAATCATTATCTGATTGATGCATTGATAATGCATTCATTTGTGTTAGGAAAGGCCTGTTTAAGCCAATTATCTTTACCAGAGTGAACAGAAGGATCCCGTATTAGTTTCTGTAAGTAGGTATTCACCACTTTCATCTGCACACTGTTTAAGGGAGAACAGGGTGTCCCACTAACAAGCCAAAAGCCCTACATTGTGAAAGGCTGAAGATTGGAGTCCTCTGCTCACATGCCTGACCTTTTGGTGTACTGGGTCATGCTTTGCTTTCCTCCTACATGTTGTTTAGCGGAGATAACAGCTACAAGCTTGCAGGGCTTTTCAAGGGTTAAAGACAAAAAATGAGTTTTGTTTGTCACACTGTGACCGAGCCCGGACACACCACTCCGGCAGCTTTGGCCTGTCAGGCAGTGGAAAACCTTGATCTGTTCACCTTTCACCCATTTACCTGCCGCCCCCTGCTCTAAAATCAAGCACACCCTTAATAACCTGCTGCAGTCCTGCCTGGATGTCTTTTCAAGGCAAGCATTTTACATATTTTAAGCCAATTTAAACAAACTCGTTTTAAATGAATTAGTCATCTGTAAAAATATCTGAGAACAATACAATACCTACACATCTGCTGATGTGTTATGTGAATACAAGCCAACCTTTGAGAAGTAGCATGTCTGACGTTTCCAAATGACTGTATTGAAACTAATATTTTATGGGCTAAGGAGATGCCAAAATATCTCATTTTTAGGAGGTGGTATGGATTAGCTACTGCGGACGTATAAAAATGGTAGCTTACACTAAGGAGAAATTAATTATTGCGTGCCGCTGAGCCGAGATTGTACTTTTAATTAACAGAAGCCACATGAGGTGATTTCTTAAGTTGCAGTGTGTTTATTCAGTCATTAAACTGGCATTTTAAATCCCCTGTTTTCCGTGTCTAGGACTGGGCTATGGGGGTCAGTTGATTGTCCTCTATTCCACCATCTATTACATCATCATCCTGGCCTGGGCCTTCTTCTACCTGTTCTCCTCCTTCAGTGCCGAGCTGCCCTGGGCCAGCTGCAGAAACACCTGGAACACAGGTGTGGGTTGTTTTTTCAAAATTGAGAACCACTGATCTGGAAGTAAGAGGCAAAGAAATCAATGGAGTCTACAACACCATCTCCAGAGAGAGAGAGAGAGAGAGAGAGAGAGAGAGAGAGAGAGTTCTAGAACACAGGCACTGGAATATAGAACACAATCACCAGAGAGAGAGAGTTCTAGAACACAGTCACTGGAGAGGGTCACTTTCACCAGAGGGATTGGGAGGTCTGGAACACCGTCACCAGGGAGATGAGGCGAGAGAGTGAGGTCTAGAACACAGACACTGGAGGGGACTAGAATGCCATCACCAGAGGGATTGGGAGATCTGGAATACAGTCACTAGTAGACAGGGAGTCTAAAATAAGGTTACAATGACTCATTCCTTCTTCCTTGAAACCAACAGACACCTGCATGGATTTTGATAAGCAGAACCAGACAGCTAACTGGACGGCCCTGGATAATGCCACCTCACCTGTGAAGGAGTTCTGGGAGTAAGTATTGACAGAGCGCAAAGCAGCTCTAGACCCTTAATAAAGCTGGAAAGATGGTCCTGACCTCTCCCCTCCCTGCAGGAGGAGGGTGCTGACTATCTCCGGTGGGATTGATGAGGTGGGCAGTCTGCGCTGGGAGCTGGCGCTGTGCCTCCTGCTGTCCTGGGTCATCTGTTACTTCTGTGTGTGGAAGGGTGTGCGGTCCACAGGGAAGGTGAGGGTTGGGGGAAACTACCTGCTGTTCGAGGGGGAGGGGGGTTCTGGGAAATTCTCTGAGAAACAATCAGGTTTTGTCATGTTGAGAACATAGTTCTCTCTCCCCCTCAGGTGGTGTACTTCACAGCCACTTTCCCCTATGTGATGCTGGTGGTGCTGCTGGCCCGAGGACTCACCCTGCCTGGAGCCATTGGAGGCATCATCTTCTACCTCTACCCTGACCCAGCCCGGCTCGCCGACCCACAGGTAGTCCTGAGCCCATGAGAGCATGCATGCTTATAGTCTGGGCTGAGGAAAGGAACAGTGGTGAGGCTTATCTCAGAAGATTAGTCTTGGGTTGGACTTTATTCTCAGGGTATTCCCAGTTCAGAGTTAGTATTGGGACTAGGCATATATCGTCTGCTGGTGGTGATAGTTACATTGTGCCCAGAACCTGTCTGTACAACAGACGAGACTCTCCAGAAATGGAACTTCTAGATACCTGCTTGACTGATGCCTCTACTGTAGCCTTGCGCAGAAAATGCCGAAATGTGATCTGAAAAACTATATTAAGCAAACATGTTTTCATCTTTCAGTTGAAGACAATGTTGCTTTTCTTGTTTTTATGCTCCAAATCCTTCACACTGATTTCCTCAAGGTAAAACCTAAAGTAAAGACCTGATGGCATTGTCTTTATTTCTGTGGCAGGTGTGGATGGACGCAGGGACTCAGATCTTCTACTCCTACGCCCTGTGTCTGGGTTGTCTGATGGCTCTGGGCAGCTATAACAAGTACAACAACAACTGCTACAAGTGAGGGTGCTCATGGACCAAGAGAGGGCTGGATGGGGCAGTGCTGTGTGATAAAATCCCAGAATGCAAAAGAGAGATACATTCAGAATGCCGGCCTGTAATTAAGATCTCTGCTTTGGTATCCTAATTATCAGGACACACTAATAGTCAGATTTTGTTTCTGTTTTTCTATCTTCTCATAAAATACTTTGTGGAAAAAAACATTACAAATTGTTTGTGAACCCCCACGCACCTTGGCTGATTCATGTCCAGAACATGTGAGCAATTTAGGAGGAGCTGTGAAGGATTTCTAATGAATGAGGAGATATCCCCCCCAAAGAGCATTAGTGGGTCTCCAGATGAGCCCCCCCACCTCCACCTAAAGTCAGCCTCTCTCCTGTCCCAGGGACTGCGTCTACCTGTGCCTCCTGAACAGTGGTACCAGCTTTGTGGCTGGATTTACCATCTTCTCTGTGTTGGGCTTCATGGCGTATGAGCAGGGAGTGGACATCTCGCTGGTGGCTGAGTCAGGTAAGGTGCTCATAAAGAGACAGAGCAGAGGCTCTAAACTACACTTTGCTGCTAGGAGGATCTTGCCTCTATGTGTACATGATGTCTCTGCGCACGTGTGCAGGTCCTGGTCTGGCGTTCATTGTGTACCCGCGTGCGGTGGCCATGATGCCTCTACCCCAGCTCTGGGCCGCCTGCTTCTTCCTCATGATCATCCTCCTGGGGCTGGACAGCCAGGTAGGGACACTTTCTGCTACTCTTCAGCCTGACAGAGACTTCTGGGTCCCTTCTCGACTCTGATCCTTTTGGCTCAAGATGTGGCCTGTGGAGGATCTGGGATTCGTTTTATGTCCACTCTCTCCCTTCGCTCCACGCCCTCACCTCCAGCAAGTTCCTCTCCCTGTCCTGTACATGTGTACATGTGTAAGACAGGCCTGGCCTTCTCCTGCATCAGGACCCTGGTTTTGTGCAATTCTCATTGTCATCCCAGACCTGCTAGACAGACACGTAGTGACTATCAGTAGTCTCTCTGACCTCTGTGTCTCCCTCCCCTCAGTTTGTCGGGCTGGAGTCCCTGGTCACAGCGATCTCGGACCTGTACCCCTCATTCTTCCACAGAGGGCATCGCCGGAAGATCCTGCTGCTGGGGATCAGTGTGGTCAGCTTCTTCGCCGGGCTGCCCATGGTCACAGAGGTGAGGGCAGCTGTGAAGGGCGCAGAGCTGTTTGGCCTGCAGGGAGTGGGAAGTGCAATAGTTTGTATTGAGGCATCCTGTGTTTGGCTGGAATTGTGGGTGAGGTGATTACACAGCTCTTATAGATATATAAATATCCATGCTTTAAAACGATAGCACACGGCCAAGTTTCTCTGTTTACATCTTGTGGGCTTAGAGAACAGGGGAGTGTCTGACTTTATTACCTAGAGGCTGAGTCTAAAATTAGGTTTGATCATTTTAAAAAAGCAAGCGCTGATGGAACAAGGCTGAGCTCTCAGCCTGTGAACTAGGAGCACATGGATACAGAGTAAACAGAAGAGATGGTTATAGTTTAAAAAAAACATTAAAGGCACAAGACAAGCTCTTTCCTAAAAACAAACCCAGGTTTGTGTCTAAGAAAATACAGTTGACTTAATTATTGGGAAGAAGAGAACACTCTGCAAAGCTGCCCAGTTTCTAAAACAGTGGAAAAGTACACCAGGCTACAGACACGAGGGAAAAACAGCTCTCAGAATCAACAGGAGGAAACAGATAAGAGTACTGCAGCGCAGACAAAAAAGAATGCCAAACATCTTTTAAAATAATTTAAATGAAAAAACTATGAATGTTTAACTAAACAGTACACTTGATAAAATAGGATTAATACCAGAAGGATAAAAACTAAAGTGTAAAACTGCTAAATAACAATTAAAGGCTTATGTTTGCAAAGGACAATTCCAGCAGCACACCCCAGCTTGTTGTGTTGAGTAACTGGCACTGAGGGACCACAGGAGATAGCCCACTGGGACCTGCCAGGGAGGGAGGGGAAACTGACCGTGTCCTGTTTTCTCTCCTGCGACAGGGAGGGATGTATGTCTTCCAGCTGTTCGATTACTACGCCTGCAGCGGGATGACAATCCTACTTATCGCCATCCTGCAGTCTGTGTGTGTCGGCTGGGTGTACGGTGAGTGCAGAGGTCACACTGCAGCTCCTGTCTGCTTTTCTTCTCCAGCCCAGTGCTCCTGCAGCCAGGCACTGACCAGGTTAACTCACTGTTGGCGGAACCATCGCCGGCTCCATCGCCGGCTCAGTTCTTCCCCCTTGTGGCCAAACACTGAATTTAAAAGAATGATCTTTCACCCGTATCGCTCTGCCTGCCTCCCTATGACGGCTTTACCAGGATCCCTCTGCTTTCTTATCTGATCTCGTCTTTTCAATTCCTCTGGTTACCCTTTACAACCTTTGTTAGAGTAATTGTTGGACTTAATTCCACAGGTGCTGACCGTCTCTATGACAACATTGAGGACATGATTGGCTATCGGCCCAGGCCTCTGATTAAGTACTGCTGGCTCTACATCACCCCGGTCATCTGCACAGTGAGTGTCACCAGTGGAGCGTAGAGCTGCACAGAGCTCCTGTCTCACACCTGTCCTCTCTGCATAGAGCTCTTGTCTCACACCTGTCCTCTCTGCATAGAGCTCCTGTCTCACACCTCTCCCCTCTGTACAGAGCTCCTGTCTCACACCTGTCCCCTCTGCACAGAGCTCTTGTCTCACACCTATCGTCTCTGTCCCTAGGGTACCTTCATCTTCTCCCTGGTCAAGTACACGCCTCTGAAGTTCAATAACACCTATGAGTACCCCTGGTGGGGCTATGCGGTTGGCTGGTACTTCACCCTCTCGTCCACTCTCATGGTCCCCCTCTGGATGGTTTATAAAATGCTTTTGACCCCAGGGACACTGAGACAGGTAAGCTGTGACAGGAGGCATCAAGCACATGTCCATTCCAAAATCTGTGGTACGATGTGTCTGTCATCAAATCTCTGTCATCAGTGCTATGAGCTATCTAACTACAGATCTAACAAAGCACTCTGTCAGCACCTTTTTGCTTATCCTGTTTCATACAACATTGCCTCACATCCCGTGTAGTACAGCAGTGTGTAGGTTTCACAGCAATAAATATGCCAAAAGAGGATCATGTGACTAAGAGCATTTTCAGGGCCAGTAGGAGGTATGTAAGGCCCTATCCCCTCCTGTTACCCCTCCCATGCCCCGCCCTCTGATTGTGTGTCTATCCTGGCCCATGCAGAGACTGGACCTTCTCTGCCAGCCCTCTGAAGACCTGCTCTTCTCCAGGAAGCAGCAGGAAGCCTTCTGCCCTCTGACTGCTGACCCCTCCAGGTGTGCTGGGAAGTGCATTCCACATGGTGACAGCAGGCCAACAGACTTCACCCAGGACTCTGGACCTCTGTAGAACCCCTGCCTATGACTCTTTATGTGCTGGAACACAACAGGGCTCATCAAGGGTTTGCTGAGGCTGTATGCTTTAATTCACAATTTTGAGGTGTGTGGTAACTGAGTTTTGACTAGTGCCAAATGATTCAGATGATGTTATTTTTTCCATCCCAGGAAGAGCCGAGGCTGCGGCCTTTATTACGAAAAGTGTATCTGGCACAGTGACTGTCAAACACTAAGACACAATACAGCCAGGCTCACCAGTGGCCATGGAAAGTTGAAAACAGTCCTGTCTAAAGAAAACATCGCTGGCATCATTTACAGCCGAGAGCTTTCACTGCCCTTATCTATTTGAAAACTGTAACTCCAGAATTACAGCTCAGTCAGGCTTATGAGGAGAACGTATTGATCAGTATTGATCGCACCAATCAGACAAGATGGGACAGGGAGGAGCGGCCATACTGAAGTGTCCCTGGGAGGCTGACACTAAGCTGAGCCTATGTAGGCTGAGCCAGTGACATCGCTGGACTCGAGCCTGGCATGGAGGTGTTAAGTCACCTGAAAGTACCTCTGTGCCAAGACCTACAACACTAAAAGGTGCTTTACTAACCTAAATTAAAGAGTTCTCTAGCCGATGTGAATGTTTGGGAGGGGATGGGGAGGAGAGCTCACCTGTGTCTTTTCTTCACTTCACTGCTGGACTGACAGATGGATCAATTCTACAGTGTACGAAACCTGCTCTTACCTCCAGCACCACCCTGAGTGCGAGTTACAGCTAGGGTTAAATCAGGGGTGACATCACTCTGGCCCTGGAGTTGCTCAAAAGGTCACAAGCAAGGCTGTATTTTTAGACTGTCTGAAAGTGTAACCTTGACATTAAAGTTGACAAAGAGAGGTATTCAAAAACTCCCTTTGTGAATTCATCCTGCATTGAACTATACAGTACAGTATATTCAATATTTGAATATATAAATAAAGAAAATCCTTAGAATGAAGGCAATATAAAGACATTCTGTAAAACATTATATGATTTACTGTAATTTGAGTCAAATTACTAAATAAATCAGAAACTTTGTCATCTTGTACTGGAAATCTGAAAAAAATCTAGGAGCTTATGATGCTTGTTGGTTCACAGATTGAGAGAGGTGATCTTAATTAAAGTTCTACACAAATTAAAATGCAGTAGTTGGGCTATAACCACAACACTCTCCAGATCCTGAATGTGCCTCCTTGTTGTTTCTGTGTTATTCCATTTCATTGGCTGTGGGAAGGGGGCGGGGCCTTGTGACTGCAGCCAATCCTGGGAGGCTATGTGCAGTGGAAGGTTAGTCACATGTGGGGGGTTGTGCCAGGCAGAAGGCCAACCTGGGCACACAGGAGGAGGTGGGGGCACACTGTGAGCTCTACAGCCCAGCAGAACTCCAGCAGTAATGGTCTTGTTTATGTTAGGATCCCAGCTGTCAGTCACGTCAAGGGGTTATTCTGTTACCTGTCTAGGATTGCAGCAAACTGACGTGACTAGCTTACAACATTAAGACCCTCCAGGAACCTTGACAATTTCACCATCGCCAGCCCCTTTATATGTAGAAACTATGGGAAATTTAAACCCGAGAACAAGAGGCAGCTCTTTCCACAAAGGGTTAGGGGGCTCTAGCACTGCCTACGTAGCAATGATCTCGAAGCCAATATACTGGAAGGAATGGCTGGATGAGATCCATTAGTTACTGGAAACCAAATGAACTAGGTGGGCTGAGTGGCCTATCTTTCGTGCCCAGGCAGGTCAATGTGTGAGCCGTACTGGCTGAGACTGTGAAAGTGTACAGCAAACACTGACACTGATCCTCCCGTCCAGGTCATAACAGGGCAATGGATCTTTAAAGAAATAATTCAACTAGTCCTCGCAGGGTAATACTGACAAAGAATTTAATGAATGCAACAAATTAAACAAAACGATCAGATCATTAAAATCAAAATAAAAGGCTAACTTATTCAGGTGTATTACTCCATAAAAAACAATTAATGAAAGAAAAAGTAGTTCTGAGTCCCTCTAATACATATATATATCATGTTGAGTACTTTCTCCACCCAGAATTTCAGCATTAATTCCCATCTGGACATGACAAGCAGTACATGGTTGAAGAGGGTCCAGGGATGTGCATGTGTCCCCCCACCTCTGATGGCTGTGAGTCCACCCCCCCAAAAAACACACTAATGAAAAGCTTCTTCCCAAACCACGTCTACTGCTGGCCTGCAGGTTTGAGTCTCACAACTGTTTATGCGAAGGCTTCACGTTTGGAGATCTCCTCTGCCCCCTGAGCCTTGAAGGACCCCTGTCCTGTCCCACAAACCCAAGCACAGTCAGGGGTCATTTCATCTGCAGAGGCCGAGTTGGGGCAGGAACTGAAACCGGGAGTCTGGAGGCCAATAGAGCCACAGAGCTCGTTTGTGGCAACAGAAGAAGGGAGGGGGAAGCAGAGCAAACCTCCTGGAAGTGTGACTCAGTCTCAGTGGTCTCGGACGTTTCGCTTAACGTGCTTAATTAGTGTCCGAGTTTGTGACCTCTGTGGTCTGTCTGAGCAGGGAGCAGAAGGACATGAGGAAGAGCAGAGAGGTCATGAATGACAGGAGAATGTCCGGCCAGTTGGCAGCCCTTTCCTGAAACAAGCCAGGGTACCGACTTCAAGAACACGCTGCCAGCCATGAGGGCTGAAGCCAGTACCCTGACTTTTTTCAAGACACAGCCAGATGAGATCCTGGGGTCAATGAGCTACTAACTGCAGAACGGGCAAGCTTGGCTGAGTGCAGTCTACCTCTTAGTGATCTTTCTCCTGTTCTTAATGGTCCCCACTCAAACTGACGCCCAGCCACAGACGTTACAAGCTCAGACACAGGGTCTGGAGGTCAGTCAGCGTACGTGACAGTGATTTGGAAGAAAAGCTGTACCCATGGGAGTGGAGGAGAGAATGTGGAGAACCTGCTTCCCAGACTCTTCCCCTTGTGTCCCACCTTTACCAATGTCATTTCCATTCCTAGCATGTGGCGACGTTAGAATTGCACGATCAGGTGCTGGAGTCCCTGGTATCACTTTGCTGGTTTAGGATTATATTTCTGCCTGGCCAGTGATATCCAGGTGCGTTTTGTCTCAATGTTGTTTTATATAATGCTCTGAATCTATAACGGGAACAGGTCAGCCATGTTAGGAAGCAGAGGGAATGTCGGTAATAAAACATTTCTGTGATGCCTGCAGCGGTGAGAGACTGTCCTGTTAAGTTTAACATCCTGGACAATAAGCTTGCAGCACAGACTGCTGCATCTCCCCTAGATTCTAAGGAGCAGTTATCAGGATCTGTCCCAAAATAGGAGCAAACCAAAATGAGCAGAAACACAACTGGATAACACTGGTATGTTTTTAAGAAAGGGTGTCTGAGTGGAGTTCATAGCGAAGGTTTCTGGATGAGGACAAGCCCCTATTTTTTCTTATCACAGGGGGTGTCAATGCGGGACTCTAGACCCCTTCTCTCAGAGTCCTCATCACACTCACAGCCCTCGAAGAGCACAGCCACCTCTCTGCTGATCTGGGCTCAGGCAGTCAGGTCTCAACCCAAGAGAGATAGCACCCATAAACACTCTTCCCCTGATCACTATGCATCTTCTCAACCTGCAGATTAAACTGCCAGACAGAACCGGGCTATTCGGAAATGAATCCTACTCTGAATCCTACTCAGACGCTGAAACTCATCTGTTACAAAAAGGTTTAAAGGCTTTAGGAATTCGGCGCTGCCCCAGGAAAAGGGGGGGTTTCAAGTCAGGCTGTGGGCGTCTGCGTGGCCCTGATGCACAGTACATTGCATGTGAAGGGTGGCGTCCCACTTTTTCCAAAAGCCGCCTCAGAGACAAGGGTGGGAGCTACTCTTGACAAGGCTGTCTCCACGGATACAGCTACAGTACAATGATAAACAGTAACCTCTTCGCCCTTTCCTGGAGGTAAAAAAACATAACTGCTTAGCTGACAATCAGAAATAAATAAACACATCAGTCACTCGTTTTTCATGACAGACCACGTTTTCAGAGGTAAGAGGGTTTGAATTGCTGGAGGAGACAGCTTTGGGTCATGGGTCTAGTTTCAGTCACGACTGCTGATAACGACCCCTTCTTGTGGGAATTGTAGTCGCCAAAACATGGCGGTTCTGGAGCTGGTGGTGACGTGGCCTCTGCTCCACGTTGGAATACTCAGTCGGCTTGAATGGTGTGTAAAATACATACAGACACAGGATGGACTTAGTCTTTAACTCTCACAGCTGTGCCTGTTTCCTGGAAACTTGGCAGAGGCATGGAGCCGGACGGACCAGCAGGGAGCTGTCCTGTGGCGGAGGGGGGCTGTTCCACTCCTGAGGGGGCTGCGAGGAACCACACACACTTCCTCCGGGGGGGGTGAAGAGATGCTGGGGTGAACGGCCCCAGGAGGGGTCGTTGTCTGTGCGCTGGGAGAGAGAGGCAGCAAGGCCTGACCCAGGCCTGACACAGTGCAAACCGTCAAGGGGTTTGGGTCTGCCAGAAAGGTCCTATTGCTCCAGACAGACACCTCCTCTGCAGTACGGAGGAGCCGCAGTCAAAGACAAGGCTGCAGGCAAGGTCCTGGTGCCGGTCCTGGTGTCATACACTTGGCGCCCCCGAATGGAGCCTGCACTCTGAAGATAGGCCAGGTACTCAGAGCTGTTGAAGGTGGCACTGAGGGGTGCGACAGTGTCCATCCGAAGAGCCCGACATTCCCACATTGTTCTCTTCCTCAAAGGAAGAGGAGTCATTTATACTTCGGTCCAAGGCTCCTGCAGTGTCCAAGGTGGCAGTCCTGCCACCCTCCCTTGCAGCATGTGTCCAAGCCACCTATGCTTATGTGCCAACACTGCCCCCTAGCTGGGCCGATCTTCATAGCATCCATATCGCCAAACTGCACTGCGGTGCCTGACAAGCCTGCTCTGTGGAGCTCCAGCTGGAGACAGCACAGATGTCAGCGCGTATCTGGTGCCGATCAGCTTAATGGGAACAACAGAAACAACAACAATAATAACAATGGTGATGGCAATAAAGTAATGAGGACAAAGCCTTAACAAAAGTAACAAAAGACTAGTCAGGAATTAAGGCCCCTCTGCAATGTGCAAGCTCATGGCAGTTCTGCCCCGTGTAGGAATGCCAATACAGCCAGATCTCCCCCTCCCAACGAGGGCGGCAGCTCGTGCTCAGCGAGCTGTGTCAGCGGGCTGTGGGATTGTCAGTGGCACGTCACCTCTCCTCCCGCGCCCCGCTCTTGCCCGGGGGACGCTGGACACATTGAGTCTGCCCCCTGCCCCTGCCTCACGGGCTCTCCATGCTCTTCCTGCGGCGCTTGGCTCCCGGGCTACTGAGGCTCTCAACATTGCCAGCTTCTCCGCCCTCTCCACCCTCTCCGCTCTCGCCAGCCTCGCCACCACACTCCTCCGCATGCTTCTTCCTCCGCCCCACCTGCAGGACATCACAAGGACACACCGCCGTCAGGGTAACAGACACACCAAGCCCCTCGGGAGCCTCTATGTCACCAGTCAGTAAAGACAGATAATACATTAACATCACACCCTGGCTGTCATACTGCAAAGCGACAATGGAATTGCAATACAGGTCCCAGATCCACGTTTTAACTGCTTTATTCCAGTAATGGGTCACAGGAGTGCTGGAGCCTATCCTGGCAAGCTATTGGCGCAAGGCAGTATACATCCTGGATGGGATGCAAGACAGACACGGACACACCAGCACTAATTTTCCCAGAAGCCAAGTGACCTACCAGCATGCCTCTGGACTGTGGGAGGAAACCAAGCACCCAGAGGAAACTCATGTGAATGCAGGGAGAACATACAAACTTCACAAAGATAGCACCCCAAGTCCAGAATTAAACCCAGGGCCCGTACACTGTGAGGCCGTAATGCTTACTACTTTGCCACCTACCTTGGCGTCGTGTTCAGCAAATTTCTGGAACATGTTGGCGTAGGTTTTCTTGTCGCGCTCGTGGTGCTCTCGGATCTTGCTCTGGCAGACGGCGATCTGCCCGCGCGCCGCCCGGTTGGCGGGGTTGACCTCCAGCACGCGGTGGAAGTCACTCATGGCCAGGCTGAACTCGTTGCGCAGAAGCCGCGCCTCCCCGCGCCGGTACAGAGCCTTCTCGTTCCCACCGTCCAGCTCCAGCGCCTGCCCATGTGGCCAGACAAACACACCGCGGTTAGTGCCTCTACCTGCGGCTCCCAGTCCTCTAAACACGCTGACAGATCGTGCAAGAGAGAGAACCCGACTGAACCGCAGAGGACAGAGGACAGAAGAGCCGACTGAACTGTGGGCAGGGTCAGAGGACAGAGGACAGAAGAGCCCGAATGAACCGCTGGCAGGGACAGAGGACAGAGGACAGAAGAGCCCGAATGAACCGCTGGCAGGGACAGAGGACAGAGGACAGAGGACAGAGGACAGAGGACAGAAGAGCCCGACTGAACCGCGGGCAACCAGAGGACAGAACACTTGATGAACTGGATCGAACTGCAGGCAAGGACAAAGACAGTATGTCATAACCTGGACTGAACTGCACACTGGGACTGATGTAGAATATGTGATGAACCGGACCGAACCGCTGTCAGGGACAGAGGCATAGCATGATCGACTGGACCGAGGGGAGAAGAACTGGACTGAACCGCAGGCTGGGAGGGAGGCATAGCCTGAGGCACAGGCAGTGAGAGACAGAGGTCAGAGTTTGAGCAGAGAGAAAGAGGGCAGCAGCATGTGGAAGGGGAGTCAGAGGCCAGCCTGGTACCTTGTTGCAGTTCTCCACAACCTGGGAGTACTCGCGCAGCCGCAGGTGACACAAGGCCAGGTTGAGCTGGGCCACCAGGATGAGGGCGTGCACGGCCTTCTCCTGCTCCTGCTCCAGGCTGTACTCCATCTCCAGCCAAGACACAATCTTCTGGTACTGGATCACCGCCTGGAGGTACTTCCCTGCCTGCAGTACAGGACTAGGATCAGCACTGCGTGTCTTCTGACTAGTGTACTCTTGGTGTATTCATTCTATTCTTTTACAATATACAAAATATCAAAGAAACCCGTGCTTTTATTCGAATTCCTCAAAATTTGAAATGCTTTCATCTTAAATATATCTATGTGGTTGAAGACCTGGGATCATCCATTCATCCATTTTCTATCCACTTCAACCAATTCAAGGTCAAAGGGGAGCCAGAGCCCTTTCCCAGCAAGTAACGGGTGCAAGGCAGGGTACACCCCGGATAGGACGCCAGTCCATCACAGGGGAAACACACACCAGGGACAATTTTCTCAGAAGCCAATTAACCTGTCAGCATCTCTTTGGACTGTGTGAGGAGACTGGAGCACCCAGAGGAAACCTGCATGAACATGGGGAGACGATACACACTCCACACAGATATCACCCCAGGTCCAGAATTGGACACAAGGTCCCAGCGCTGCGAGGCAGCACTGCTAACAACTACGCCACCGTGCCACCCCGACTTGGGCTCGGTTACCTTGAAATACTGTGTTCCTTTTTGTTTGACAGTGGCTGACAGCTCCAGCTTCTCTTTGAGGTCCATTTCCCAGGATTCCTTGGCCTGCAGGGGAGATGACAGCATTGTTTGGGTACAGACAGTGCATGCACCTAGGCCTGTCTCATCTGGAATTCAAGGGTGGGGAAACGAATCAAACTAAATGAGAAACCATTTTAATTGCACCACTGGACTTTCTGCTCAGGCAGTGACTAAGCTATATGTTGGAAAGGACCCATATTTCTTCTTCATAATCAGGCAGTTCTCTTCAGGTTTCCTCAGCTAGTACACCATGCAGCTATGCAGCAGGGTTTTCTTCAACAGCTCTGTAGAGCTCATCCAATGGCTCACCTTTTTAAAATCCTTCAATGTTACTTTGTACACCAGCTCCGCGTTCGGCTCGATGCTGAACTCAGGTTTTCCTTCTTTTCCAAACCCATACCTGAGACACAGTTACAAGGAAAGAATGTTACTCCAGCTGGGGGGAGAAGCCTGATCATCGGCTGTGTTAGTGCAGCCATCCCACACTGCTCCGTCACTCACCAGCGCACGCTGTCACTGTCACCAAAACTCAAACTGGACCTAGTGCCCTCTGGTTCGTTTGATACACACATTTCAAATTAACTACAGAGAGAAAGCCATTGTGATCTGTCATGCATTAATGAACCAAACATTCCTTAAGAAAGTATTTACTACAGAATTGTGGAAATCAAGCTCCTCAGCAGGGAAAGTGTCAATTGTGTTCCTCTGTTACCGCCCTGTAGGCAGGAACTGAGCCCTGCAGCATGGCCACTCACTTGGGCTTGAGGTAGAGCAGGCAGCATTCCCCCTTCTGCATCTTCTCCATGGCCCTGTCCACACCCAGGGGCACGCCCTTCTCCTCCGCCTCCCCAACCACGAACCGCACGTCACGCGAGTCGAACACACGTCCCCCGCAGCTGCCCTCCAGGTGCACTGTGGGAGAAAACACAGCAGGCCGACGCTTAAAAAACACCTCAGCCCGGACTTCCTGGTCTGCACAAGTCTCGTCACATGTGAGCCAAGCGCTGCCCCTCCTACACAGAGGATGCAGCAACCGGTCGGGAATGTGATCCGGAAAACCATTATTTTCCTCCTCCACACCCTCCCTGTGAAGAGTGCCTCATCTGTCACACCTACATTAGATAACCCAGCCATTTTTTTAGATTTTTCAGGTCAGTCAAGGAGCAACAGATTCCATGCTGCACGTGTCTGAGGCTTTCTACAACACTAGAGACAATTCCAAGTTCTGTCACTGACACACAAATGCTCACTGGTGTCCCAGAGCTCTGGCCCATCAACAGACATGAGTTCGGTATCTCAGAGTCAACATGACTTTGAAGATGATAGCCTTCAATAGTATCAATTAAAGCTCCAACCCATCCCCGTTCACAAATTGCAATCCCAGTGCTCAACAGAGGTTTTTCTCTGGGCAATAGGAAGCGATCGCCACAGAGAGGCTTGTAAGTTATGATTAGAGGGTGGGCTTGTTAAATCTAAACAAGTGTGGGTCTCCCAAGTGGATCGGGCAGTAAGTGTTTAAGAGCTGACTGAGCCTAATGGTCAAGATGTCGCGGGTTTTCATCTGTGTCAGGTCCATAATGGACTGGGATTCGGTAAGTGGTGAAACAACTGGCTCCAGCTGTGCAAGACATCTCCTTCCTTCTCCTCTCTCTCATGCTCACCTTCCACAGTGGCGCCTTCATTGGGGTTGTTAAACCCCTCACCTTTCTCCTTGATCCTCCTGACCACACCCCCATCTGCAGTCAGCTCCTCCCCTTTGAAACTGAGCAACTCCACCTGCGAGGACAAGCCATATGATTGGTACACAGAACAGACACCTCCAGTCATCTGGCTGAGGCTATCGTCTACACACCAGCTCAGACTTCTTCAATAGAAACATAAACAAACTACCTAAGGTTTGCTGTGCTATTTAACTTGAATGAACCTAAATGTATTCTTTTATCAGGTGATTCATCAGTCGTTTAATTTAAAAATGTAGGATATGCTCATCAGGCTCACCTTGAAGTATGATGTGTTTGACTCACCTCAAAAACCAGTGTGGAGTTAGGAGGTATTTTAGGGGGGCTTCCAACAGCCCCATAAGCATATTCTGGCTTGCACAGCAGCAGGCACAGCTCCCCCTTCCTCATACTGGCCACCCCGATATCCCAGGCCTTGATCACCTGACCTGTGGAGAGAACACAGGCAGACTGAGCCAGTCATGGGCAAAAGGCTAATTTCCCAACCAATCAGCTCTCAGCACTCCTTCACGGTATCACAGTCCCCAGCAGCGACACCTCAGCTCTCATCTACAATCTGCAGCAGAATAGGGGCAACTATGTCAGACACACGTGCTTTTCATACCTATACTGTGCAACTAGAAATAAGAAAAACTATAGTTATAACACTGTCATACAGCAGGGTTGACCTTGTACCTTTGTAATATTATAATCCTTAACCTATGCCAAAAAAAGGGTTAATTTTAATAGAAACCATTTTGTGAACAAATCCAGTGTTCCACTGCTGTGAGCAATGGAAACCATCAGTCTCCATCTCCAGCCTGTCCTGTGTAGAATACGGCACAGGCAGCTGCCACATGCGCCTCACTCCTGGTACCTTTGCCAAGGTTGAAGACGAAGGGCTCTTTGCGGTCCAGACTGCAGTCGAACTTCTTGCCGTTGAGCAGCCTGCCCGTGTAGTGGACATACACCTTGTCACCGATCATCGGACACTCCCCCTCCTCGCCATGACGTTTGATCACCTGCGGGGGGCGACAGAGACCATGAGGCTGGTGCACAACAGACCCAAAACCCATCTCACCCCACTGGACAGGGCTCAGAGTGGAAATGTCGTTTTCTGCCCAATAAAGAGAGATCTGTGCTTAGTCCGAAAATACACAGACTCTGAAATCAGTCTTCCTTATCGACACAAACTTTCTGGTACACCTGAACAGGAAATTCCACAAGACAGGGGGTTTTCAGAAAAATAAGACCTGCTACCTGCCCTCCTCACAGGTAACTTTATAGCAGCAATAATAGGTCCAACTAGTGTTTAGCAGTTTGGTCAGATCCTAATGAAGCCACTGTAACGATGTGATACAAGTAGCTTGTGAAATAACAGAGACCCCATAATGCCAATGCAGAATTCTTAGATTGTGATGACTAGGGACATAAAATACATGTCCCATCAGCCTAGTGAACTGTAAGAATAGCAGTAGCATTTCAAAATGCACAGGGACGTTGCAAAGAAGTTTTCTTTCTTGAAAAGGGAGTTTTCAGTGAAGTGAAGACACCTTGGGGAAATCTGACTCGTGGAAGCATTGGAATTTTGTAAGACGAGCAGGGCCATGGGGAGCTGTGCAGTAAGAAGTGGGATGTGTAGAGCAGGTGGGATGAAGGGGGCAAGATTAGGGCTGACCTCCTCCTGGACTTCTCTTAGAAACTCGTGCAGTCAAAGCAAAATCTGCCATGTCTTCATCCTGGCAGCGGGACAGGAGTGGACTCTACCATGTCTTCATTCTGACAGTGAGTCATGAGAAAACTCTGCCATGTCTTCATCCTGGCAGCAGGTCATTAGTGAACTCTGCCGTGTCTTCATCCTGGCAGCAGGTCATGAGCAAACTCTGCC